ACCCATAGAGATCCACCTGCCTCTGCCTCCCAAGTGCTGGGATTAAAGGTGTGCACGACCATGGCAGGTGAGGGTTTATTTTTAAGATTTATTGCTTTTTAAAATGTATGTGTATGTATGTGTGTCTGCACATGCACAGAGGTCATAAGAGGGCATTGTTGCCTGGAGCTGGAGTTTCAGTTGATAGTGAGCCTGGTGATGGAGGTTCTGGGAGCCAATCTCAGGTCCTAAGGGCAGTAAGCACTCAATCACTGCGCAGTCTCTCTAGCCCCAAGAGCTCTTTCTTCTCACTATTGTGCTTGCCTTATAAGTTTTGACTTACACTTAGGATCCTGTGCAGGGGAATAAAGAAGATGTAGGTAATGCTCCTCTGCTGCTTCCTCTGTAGGGTCCTCTGTGCTGCAGGCTGTGCTGGTGTGTCAGGAGTTGAGCTGGGTTTGTGTTTTGCCATCATTACCTTCAGTGCACCTCTGGCTTCAGATTTTTCAAGCACTGGGCTTCTGTTTCCATGCATCTAGATCATGGCATGTAATACTATATGCCTTTTTCTCCTGCTGCCTGTACCACCCTCACCTTTTAGCAGTCTTTGCACTATTGTTCCACAGAGGAATTTCATTTTATGCAGTTGCCCTTCTATTTGTTTTGTTGTGGAATAGAGTGGGCTTTTGTTTTGATCTAGACTGAATTATAATTAGGCATTGGGGTTTGGGCTTCTTCAGCATTCCTAGTCTCTCCCTTCCTTATAGAAGTCATATTCTGCCATTTATGGTTATTCCTGGACAGGAATATCCTTCCCGTCCCCTAGCTGTAATAGATCTCTCTTGGGATTGGTGCAGGATCTTTACCCATTACGTTTTCCTGTTCCTCTCTCCTAACAACAATATTCTTTATGTCCCATGGCTGAATATTTTTCCAAACTACACCCCGTCCCAGGAGGTATAATAATTTTGCTTCTATTCTTCCCCGAGGCAATGGATTTTGCCTGAACACTTAAGTGAAAGGGGTTTCTTTTGTTTTGCTTTAGGCAAACCTTCAAGCCTCTTTCCTAAATTCTTCTTGCATACTGTCATATTGATGTATGGCTTCTCTGACTTCCTGTCCTACTTGTTTTTTGGTGTGGGTGTGTGTACTTGGTGTATGTAGGTATATGTACATGTTCTGGTGCTTGCACCTTACTGATTCCACCATCTTCTCAGCCTTTCTTGTCCTGTTTCTAATCTTTCTTAGGAGCACCTATTTGAGACATGTGGATCATCTTCCAGTTGAGTCCTTGTGTCTCCAAACTGACATACTAGATTTTGAAGAATTTGTTAAAATTTTAGCTTGTTCCTTCTTATACTGTTATGTGTTGGACACTTCTTTTTCTGTCATCTGCCAAACAGTTTCTGTATATTGTCTTTCCTTGAAGGAGCTTATTTTTCCAAGAGAGTAAAATTCACTTGGAATTTTATTAGAATTACTTGGTAAGTAATAAATTTACTTGTTCGCTCCATTCTTCGTTAGACTAAGAGGAGTTTTGGCCTTACAGATATGATTCCTCTCACCCTCCAGCAATGAGATGCTTTTGTGGCTTTCTGCCTTCTATGTGAAAATAGAACTGTTTGCAGTTTGTATTATTTACTTTTCTGTTACTGTTCTAAAATACCCTGACAAAAGCAACATAAGGAGGAAAGGGTTTCTTTTAGCTTATTCTTCTGGTTCCAGAAGAATAGAGCCCATCATGGCAGAAAAGACATAGCATGGGGGCAAGAGCAGGAAGCTAGCTGGTCACATTTTCATCCAGAACACAGCAAGCAGAGTGAGAGAACAGAAAGTAGGTAAAGCTATAAACCCTCAAAACCTACTCCCAGTGACACACTTCCTCTAGCAAGGTTCTACCTCCTAAAAGTTCTATAATCTTCCCAAACATCACCACCCTCTGGGGACCAAGTGTTCAAACTCATGAGCCAATGAGGTACATTTCTCACCCAAAACACTACAGAGTTCTTGACAAGGTATGCTGCTTCAAATTTCTGTTCTTGCTGACCCCTCTATATTTCCCATTTTCCTTCATTTGCCTCTTTACCACTTCATTGAAATTTAACCTGAGAGACTACTTTCATGAAGCCTTTCCTGGTTGCTCCAAGTAGAGCAGAGCATTCCTTGGCCTTTACCTCTTGTATAGTATATTTCATTTTCCTCAGACCCATTGAAGCCAATCCTTAATGAGGCTGGGCAGCTTTCATATATTTAAGCCTGTTACTTGGAGAACTGTCCCTCTATTTTCAGATGGGATTATAAATGAGCTTGAAAGAAAAGACAAAGTGATAAGAGAAGGGAGTTCATTTATTGATAGAATAAAAATTTTGAGATTAATAATTATTTTGTATGGTGTATGTGTGTATGTGCACATATTGTGTGCATACTCGCACATGAGTCATCATGTGGAGACCACAGGGTTGGGTGTTTCCTCCTTCATTTTCTACATTATTATTATTATTATTATTATTATTATTATTATTATTATTTGAGACATGATCTTTTCACTGAACCCGACTCTCTCAACTTAGCAATACTGATTGGCCAATGAGCTCTGGAAATACACTTGTCTTTGACTCCTGCCATTTGGGTCATAGCTGCTCACCACTGTACCCAGCTGTTTCATGGGTGCTGGGGATCTGAACTCAGGTCCTCTTGAGCTATTTCCCCAGCCCCAATTTAAGATTTTTTTTACATGTTTTACTGTTTTGTTTTGTTTTGTTTTTTGTCTTTTTGAGTCAGGGTCTCCCTGTAGCTCCAGCTGGCCTGGACTCACTATGTAGACCAGGCTGGCCTCAATCTCACAGAGACCCACCTGCCTCTGCCTCCCGAGTACTGGAATTAAAGCTGTGCACCACCGTGCTAGCACTACACATTTTAAATTTAGACATAGACCATAAAATTATGCATTTTAATGGGGTAGAATTTTTAAATTTATTTTAATTGATGCATAAAAACATAAAAAGTGTACATATTTATGCAGTACCATATGATTTTTTCTGCTTTTGTGTGTGCATGTTCATGTGTTTGTGGGTACATGTGTATGTGGAGACCAGAGGGCAGCCTCTGCTGTTCTTTCCTTAATTACCATATACCTTGTTTTTTCAGACAGGTGCTCTCATTGGCCTGAAGCTTGCCAGATAGGCTAGAGAGGCTTGCCATCAAACCCTAGGAATCTGCCTGCCTTCACCTCTCCAGAATGTGATGTTTTGGTGTATGTATACATTTGTTATGTAATGTTTGTATCAGGTTAAACATAGCTCTCTCCACAAACTTTTTATCATTTCTTCATGGTAAAAACATTTAAACTTCTTTGTTCTAGCATTTTGAAATATATACTACATTGTTGTATCTATAGTCATACCACTGTGCAAAAGAACATAAGAATTTCTTAATCCTATCAAATTTATACCTACTGCTCAATCTTTCCCCATCATTCCCTTCCCCTGTCCTTCTCAACCTCTGAAAACCACCATTTTACTCTCAACTTCTATGAGATCAAGTTTTTATATTACATATAAGTGAGATTATTCAGTACTCATCTTTCAGTTCCTGGCTTGTTTCAATTAACATAATTATCTTTAGTTCCATCCATGTTGTCACAAACGACAGGATTTCAATCTGTTTTATGGCTGACTATATTCCATTGTGTATGTGTACCACATTATCTTTATCCATTCATTAGTTGATTGGCACTTCAGTTGTTTTCATTTTTTGGCTATTATGAATAGTGCTGCAGTGAACATGGCAGTGCAGATGTCTCTTTGATATACTGATTTCATTTCCTTTGGATATATACCCAGAAATGGAATTTCTGGATCATATGGTAGTTCTATTTTTAAGTTTTTGAGGAATCTCCATACTCTTTTCCATAATTTGCATTCCCAGCAAGAGTGTACAAGGGTTCCCTTTTTCTACATCCTTACCAGCACTTGCTCTCTTTTGTCTTTTTGATAGCAGCCATTCTTATTGAAGTGAGATGATGCCTCATTGTGGTTTTGATTTGCATTTCCCTGTTTATTAGTGATGCTGAACATTTTTTTCATATGCTTTGGCCATTTGTATGGAATAAAGGACAGCAGTGATAGAATAAATAGATAGCAGTGATAGTGAAAAAGCAGAGAGCACTGTTGACAAAGGTAGGAGAGCAGGTAGTAGCATTTTGAACAAAGCTGATGAATGTCAGTTGTGGGAACCAGAGATAGAATTAAGTAGCCCAAGTTCCTAAATTGTCTGATAGAATGATTGTCTCAGGAGCCTGATTCCCTGTCTTTGTGATCTGAGAGAATTGTTAGTAAAAAGCTTATCCCTAAGGGCTGGGAATGTAGCTCAGTTAGTTGTTAGAGTATTTGCCTAGCAAGCAAACTTCACCAAATGTAAGCCATTAGAACTCACATTTCTTAAGAAGGCTTTGCCTATAAAGTCCCTGAAGTTTGATGGTTATTTTGTGGTAGAGTAGAAACATACAGCATTACTATTCATTTAGTAACTACAGTTAGTTATATCCCATGCCAATGGCCCAGATACAAATACTAGTCATGGTACTAGGTCCTTTTCTGTACCAGAATTATTTTATTCTGGAACTCATGTTTCCTCTTATTGTTTAATTTTACTAAAAACAAGGTAGAGGCCACCACTACTGAGGTGACTTCAGGAGCTCTAAATGAGCTGATTGTTTTCAGCCCTGTGTCTCTTTGGGACACCAGTACAAACCCAATTTGCTGTGTATCTCCTTTGAAGATCGACCTTTTTTGAAAAAGCCAATTGGCCTCTCATCAACTTTATCTATTTCTCTGTTATACCTTTAATCTTTAATTTCTTTTCCAACTACAGCAGTGATAAGAATGTGAACTGGCATTTCTTAACCAACTAGAACATCTAAGAATCTTTGTATGCTTGTAAGGAAACAGTGATGTGTCATGGTTTCTAAAAATCTGTAATGATTTTAGTGGCCTAAATGTGTCTTCTTTCTTCTTCTTTAGATCTGTCCATACTGATGGAAATGTAACTGTCACTGACTCTGATGATAAAATCAAGGACCATCAGACAGGATCACACAGTAGGACACTTTGCTTCCAAATGAAGGCACCAGCAGTTAGAATTTCTGCTTAATCTAAGGTATTTGAGATACAATTTTACTTTAATGTGGCTCCTTCCTAGTGATTTTATAATATTGATTACTATTTGTAGATTTTGCAAGCTTAAAAGTTCTTATAAATTGGATGTGGTGGTGCAGGACTTTAATCCCATCTGAGGGCCAAGCCAGGCAGATCTCCTTGAGATCTAGGCCAGCTACATAGTGAGTTCCAAGCCAGCTAGGACTACAGGGAGACCCTATCTCAAAAAACAAACAAGCAAAAAAAAATTCTTATATGTTAGAGTGGTTAGCTTTTACAGAGGAGTTCACCTTCTTTCCATGCCCTGCCTCACCCCATACCTCCAACAATCAAAAGAGAAGATCCAGATTTTTAAATTTATTTTTTATTAAAAATATTCTATTATTTTTATTTTTTATATAATTTTTGTTCAATTTTTTTGTGTCTTTCATACAAAACATCTTAATCATCTTTATGTCCCCTTCCCCATCTGTACCCTCCCATAGCCCTTCCACCAGATTTCATGTGTTCTGTCATTTATGTTAAGGCTTATAGAGTCAAGTTAGTGTACTCAGATGTCCCTCAGTGGAAGTTCACCACTGGGGTCTAGTCAGCCTATCTGTAGTCACTGCCTTAAAGAAGAACAGTTCTCACTCACTCATAAGTAATCAGTTACCAATAGTTCTTTGACTAAGGTTGGGGCCTGTTGCCCATTTCCCCAGTTCTGTGCTGGGGTTGTCTGAGTTTGCATGGGTCTTGTGCATGCCTACTCTATTGCTGTAGGTTCATATGACCAAGGTCCCAGGAGCCTGTAAAACTCTCTTTCCATATGGTCATGCACTTCCTCCCCTATTCTTATAACTAACAAAGCATGTCAATGATAAGAAATAAATAGATTGAGTGAAAATTAAGATTCAGTAAACTATGCTAGAATTGGAGTAGGTAAATGTCATGTGGTAGTCCTGGTACACGTCTGTAATCTCAGCACTTTGGAGGCTGATGCAGGGGCATCCTTAATTTGAAACCAACCTGTTTATATAGTGAGATATCTCTTTTCACAAAATAAACAGTAGTAAGTCAATTAAATGATTATTTTATTATATCATAATTCTTGAGATTAGCAGCTAAATTCGGAATTCTAACAGCCTACTCATATATCATGAAACCTTAGTGATTGTTCTGTGCTTTAGTTTGAAACTTTTCTCTCCTTTTCTCCTAAGTTTATTACTAAGGGTTTTCTAACCACCAAAAAGTGTCACTGTTTTTCCCCATAGGCTATCCCTGTGGGATCTTTTGGATCCGATAGATTAGTTTCACTTGGAGCAGAAAAGCAAGATATGCAATTAAAGACCCAAGTGACTCTTCTAAAACATGGGCTGGATCCCCACTTTAAAGACTGCATAAGACAACTGAAAAGACAAAGGAAATGTCATATCAAAGGAAACAAACACAAAAGTAGTCATCTATTTTTCTAAAATACATATAAATTGCAAACAGGGTAGAGTTATTTAGGTATTTTATTTAAAAAATAATACATATATATATATCCTTAATAGTTAGTAGATGTGAAAAAGATTATCATTGAAATCTACCTGATGACTTTATATCCATGCTCAGATGCCAAGGAGCTCAGAAAGTAACCGACTGTGACTAGTAATAATCAGACATATAGAGATTAGAAATGTATGTGCATCTTAGTGTCAATTGTATTAAGAATGAATTTTTCTGTATGAAACTGTATTTTAATAATAAAATGGAGATCTTTTTTAAAGTTTAAAACCTCATTTAATTTTATGTCTTAGAGGATTTAGACAG